AACCAAAACAATCTTGGCCTTGCACCAGCCGGTCTGACAACATGGTCGAGCGAGTTTGAAAGTTGTTTTGGAGGATCGCTGATTGAGTGTGGAAAACATCGCCTTCAGAGTTGGTGTTTCCGTGGGATCTGTGCACAAAATCCTGCATGAAGACCTGCGAATGTGGAAAGTGTCCACCAGGTGATTGCCACAAATTCTGGCGGATGACCACAAGGCTGCACGCATGGCAATTTGCCAGGCAATGTTGACACGTGATGAAGGCATGAATGAGACTTTCTTTTCATCAACTGTGACAGTGGATGAGACATGGATGCCGTTTTTCAATCCGCTGTTGCATCAGCAATTTTCCAGTGGTCAAAACAGACTCCTACAGAAGCGTTCGCAGCGGCCATGGAATCATGGCATCGACATGAAAAATGTGTACGGCTGTAGGGAGATTACGTTGAAAAGTGACAGAAGTTTCAAATTTTTTGTATGATTATTGTGTGAGAAAAAAATCGGAGACCTTAGAACTTGAACACACAACGTAAATGCTCTCTTTGCCTGAGGATGGCCAAAATAGCCAAAGTGTGTAGTACATTCAAATGCATCGTGTGTTTATACCAGAATTTTGTTGACAAAGTAATAATAATCCTTCTAAAACAGGGTTGAGGAGGGATACATATTTTTTTGGACTTCCTTATATTGAAAGTTATTGTACATTAATGGTAGTCTCTATGAAAGCATTGAAACAACAAAATGCAGAAAATAAAAATAAAAGCGTTATGTTGTGGTTTGTAAGAGCCCAGGATTTTCTGTTTAAATGGAGGCTTATACTGTGAGAAGGATCAAAAGATAGAGATTTGACTGCATTCAAGAGTTAAAAATGAAAATAAATGTAATAGCATTAAATAAATACAGATACATTTTGATTTTTTTGGTGTGAATAAGCTAACATATATTTGGTAATGTGAATGTAGTGTTGGAATCTAATAGAATTATTTAATAACCTTAACAGCTGGAGATACTACATGATGTTCAGCTCTGATACTCAGTTGGTATCCATGTACGTGGGGCAATCCAAAAGTTTCAAAAATTTGAATTTTGCGCGCGAATGGTTATGAGTACATCGAAATACCGCTAGGTGTCTCCTCACAAATCCTTCTTGAATCAGTGTGGCAAGCGGCATTGAGTTGAGTGGTTGTGTTTATTGTTGGTGAACATATTTCCATTGTTGTGTTTCCGTGAGTTTGCGGTTTTGCGATGGCTGACCTGAGAGAGCAGCGTGTCTGTATAAAGTTCCGTTGGGAAAACCGCTGCAGAAATGCACCAAATGTTGAAGAAAGCTTTTGGTGAAAACAGTTTAGGCCAGACACAAACTTACAACTGGTATAAGCGTTTTAAAAATGGCCGAATGTCGACTGATGATTACGATCGTTCGGGATGGCCGTCAACTGGCACCACACCAGAACATGTTACGAAAGTTAGGGATCTGATTCTGCAAGATCGTAGACTGACCATCCAAGACCTCTGGAACACCTTGGGACTAAGTTATGGTACATGTCAACGAATTTTGCTCGAGGAAATGAAGATGAGGATTGCGGCGAAGTTTGTGCCACGACTGCTGCAAAACGAACAGAAGCAGCATTGCTTGGAAGTCTGCAGGGAACTTCAGCAACAGCTTCAAGAGGATCCAAACTTTCTTTTGAAGGTTGTCACTGGTGACGAAAGTTGGGTTTATGGCTACGACCCTGAAAGCAAGCAGTCGTCGCAATGGAAGAGCCCTTCTTCACCTCGGCCAAAAAAAGCTCGACAAGTCAAGAGCAACATTAAGTCCATGTTGATCTGTTTTCTTCTATATTGACATGATTGTTCATAAGGAGTTCATCCCTCCTGGTCAGACAGTCAATAAAGAGTTCTATAGCGATGTTCTAAGGCATTTGAGGGATAACATGAGGAGAAAACGTCCAGAGAAGTGGCACACAAATGACTGGGTACTCCACCATGACAACGCACAACCGCATACGGCTTACATTGTGCAGGAATTTTTAGCTAAAAACAAGATGGCAGTTGTTCCCCACCCACCGTACTCGCCAGGCTTAGCTCCATGCGACTTCTTTCTCTTCCCCAAGATGAAAATCAGGTTGAATGGGGCGAAGATTTGATACAGTTGAGGAAATTCAAGCGGAAACACAGACAGTACTAAATACTCTAACAAAGAAAGACTTCCAGGATGCATTTGAAAAGTGTCAGAAACGCTGGGATCAGTGTACTATGCGCTCCCAAGGGGACTACTTTGAAGGTGATGGTGCAGAATAAGATCTAGGTAAGATGTAATAGTTTTTATTAATATATTTCGGGAACTTTTGGATTGCACCATGTAGTTAATAATAATAGTGCTGTTTAATGAAGCCCATGGTCAAATCCCAGTGACATATGACATTGTCGTATTTTCTCCACGCAGATAATGTGCATGCATATATATCTTACAAAAATCATTTCTGCATTTCCCCACTGGAGGTTGAATGTGTGCAGATTTCTTAAGGAGGCCAGTGGCAAAGTGGAATTTTGTACATTGCATTCACTGAAGTGATATTGCACCAGTAAAACAATGTAATATTTCTCATTTCACATTTTGTTGCATGCATGAGATAGTAAAATGACTGGCTATTGGCTGTGTGACTGTGGTTATATTTCAGGCAGGAGTAGGATTTTTATTTTCCTTTCCCACCTCTTCTAGACTGGTTTTGGGCTTTCCCAGCCCTCTGTCTCATGTATTCTGGAGACCTTTCCACAGAAGATAATTGACCAAGCGTGAAGCTGACCTTTCACCTAAATTTTAATGTTAAGATTACAATGTGTGGACGCACGGTCACTACACTCTCCTATCTAAAGTAACATTGATTGCTAACAAAATATGGGATTGTTATTCAGAATTATCATTATAAATCTTAATCCCTCTAATAGGTCTCTGAAATCATTTTGCTGATCATCCACATTTCATTTGTTTATTATTGATGCTAATTGGACTGATGAAGTGTAAAATAAAAGGAAGGTCAAGTGACTTCCAAATTAGGATTTTTTGGGTTAGTGCTACTTTTCATTACATGTTGCCATTATAAACTGGATACTTTGTCACTGTAGTCTAAATTACAGCTGTAGCTCTGCTTGGGATTTTTATATTCTGTAGTGCCCAGTAACCAGGGAGTAAGTCATATTTTGTCAGTTCTGATAATGCCACTGGTATGTATACCTGGTTTCTGAAAGCATTAAAGGTTTAGGTCTTATACAGGGTGTATTTTTGTCAAATGACATGTAAAATTTCTATAAATTTGGAAATATGTTGCTATCGGAAACACTGAACTGAGGAACGTCTTACTCTTCTGATGGTTCTTGTGTCACTGTGATGAAGCAAAGTCATTGAGATTCTTCAATTTGTGTTGCATCATTGAGAGATGCTATTAACGATAATGTTAAATAGTATAAAGAAAGGGGAAGTGCGTGTGATAAACATGTGAGAGGCATATACGTAGCATATCAGTTTGTACAGAAGAAGTTGTCAATGCAGCATGGGAGGCAGTAAATAAAAGCGAAAGAAAAAGTGTGTTATGTTTAGAACAAAGGATAAGAGTCTCAACCAGCATTTCATGGAAACTCTGTTGAGATGGTTAGTAATTATTTCCATGCAAAATGCATCTTTAGCCAGTGATATGTCGCATTTCTGTGAGGAAAAGTACAGAGTGATATTGGGGACCGGCTAGGTGTCTTGAATGGAGCTTGGATTAAGCACACCTTCAGTTGGATGGTGGCACTGCACACATCAACACAAGACCCACCACAAACACTTTATGATTTCTTGTATATAACACCATCATGTTACTTAGTTCAGCATGTCCAATGGCAGCAAGCAAATATCCCAAGTGTGTAGAATGATCTATGAAAGTTTCATACAGTTGCATTTAATAACAAAGAAGTTATACAAATTTTAGTGCCAGGTGATAAAAATCACCCTGTACTATGAAAATCACAGTTGCATTGCCTGGCTTGTAGTCAGAAATAATGATGTCTCATTGGTTTAAGGGGTTTTAGTCAAGTTATTCCCTTTGCAGTAATATATGACATAAGCCCTTCTTACCAAGTACCAAAGATTGCTTTGTCCACACAAGTTTAATTTTTTAATCAAAAGAATAGTTCTGATCACTCTCATAATGATAGATCAAGGTTCAGTACTAGGAGTAATCTTTGGCATCCATCTGATAGTTTACCATGAAGTTGAGATGTGTTGAATTTTCAGTGTGGCATGCAATTCTTGCATATTATGAGGGAGAGTCAGTAAATCGGTCACAAATGGAAGTAAAACAACTGTAATGGATGTAATAGATTTTCTCTGTGTATCACTAGGTAGCAGACATGCATGCGCATGTTCATGCTCACAGAGTGATTTCAGTAGTCAAAATGGTGACCATGCTTGAGGGGTGTACTACCAAGCAGCAGCGTTCTGTTTTGGTTTTTTTTGTGGGATACTCATAAATGCTTCCTGTTTATGGTGCGAAGTGTTTGTCATATAAAGCAGTTCACAACTGGGAAGCAAACATTTTACTGATGATGGAAGAGGTTGAAACGGAGGTGTGGAAATGGCTGAGACAACAGTCAAAAGACTTCTGTGCTTTGGATTTCAGCGCATTGGTATAGTGATGGAACAAGTTGGTGGAGGATATGTTGAGAAATAAATTTTTTTTCCCAGGTTCTAATATCACATGTTTTACATTTTATATACAATTGTGACTGACTCTCCCACGTATTCTGCATGATTAGGTGGTAAGAGCTTTATGAAATTCTGTGAACTTCTTACTGAATTAGCTTTAAATTGTGTACAATTAAAAATGTTGGTCATGTGCTTTTCTTCCTTGCTTCATTTATGTCTGTACAGCATTGATGTGCAATATATATATATATATATATATGTGTGTGTGTGTGTGTGTGTGTATATATGCAGTTAGTTGCTCTTATTTTATTCTCAGGCTTCCTGGGTCAATGAGCATTCTGAAGTAAAGCGCAAGAAGCTGGAGATCAAACTGGAGTCTGATGATGCAAATGACAATTTCAGTTTTCCAGAAGCAATGAGCAGAAGAGACAAAAGAGGGGACGAAACTGAAAGGTATGTTTCATGCTATAAATTAATGCATACACACAGCCTTCTTCACTGTACAAATTGAAATGGGAACCTACCCCCTATGTCAAGCACTCTCAGTGCAATTTTCAGTGTGCATCCTGTTGGGTGTCATAAGCAAATGGCAAGGTAAGTTTTCTGTCAACACAGCAAATGTTTTTATACAATCAATCAGTACTCAGACAGAATTTTTATTTTTCTACTGCTACATGTTTTGGTCCTCATGGGACCATCATCAGGCAGTAATTATGATCAAACAACTAAAGTTATTTGAGCTCCCAAATATGGATCCATATTTACTGCAACACATTCATGTTACAAAATTAAGTCTAGATTAGAATATATGAAATTACAATATTAACCTCCTCAATAGTAAGATTTTATGCATACAAAGAATTGTAATGCAGTTGAAATAAATATACATTAAAATATATTAAGAATATTAACATATTATATTTTTGCATGTGATTTTTATCTAAGGCAAACATTATGCTGGTATGATGTTATATGAGGGGCAGTCAAAAAGTTCCTGGAATGGTGGTACAGCAATCTAATGGTAGGACATTTGGCAGTGCTTACCTAATCACCTTTAAAGTAGGACCCTTGCGTGTGCACACACTTGCTCCATCAAACCTGCCATTGTTGGAAGCAGTGGTGGAAGGCTTCTTTTGGAATCTTCTGGAGCTCGGCTGTCACATTCTATTTCATGCCCTCCATGATTGCAAAAGATGTCCACTTGAGGCCCATTTTCAGAGTAGGGAACAGTCAAAAGTCACCCGGAGAGTACGATGGTTGAGTGATGACAGGAAGGTTTTTCTCGGCGAGGAATCACTGCACAACAAGTGATGTATGGCTAGGTGCATTATTGTGATGCAGAAACCACTGTCCCTGCTACTTGTCTGCCGCTTCCTCCAAACCGCTTTGCGCAACCTCTGCAAAACTTGGACATAGAAGTGGCCAGTAACAGTCTGTCCAGGCAGTATGAACTCATGGTGCACCAAACCGTCGATGTCAAAGAATGCAATGAGCATCACTTTGTCTCTGGACCTGACGAGGTGTGATTTTTTTTGTCGGGGAGACGACGCTGTGTGCCACTCCGATGACTGCATCTTTGTCTCCAGGTTGTAGGTGAACACCAATGATGATCTTTTTGAGAAATGTTGGGTCCTGTGTACTTTTGTTAAACAGATCACTAGTGACCATCATGCGACAATCCATCTGATCTGTGGTCAGCTGCCTCGGAAGAAACTTCACACTGATGCATCTCATCTTCAGATCATCGGACAAAATGGCATGAATGGATCCGTGAGTGATACCAACTTGTTGCTTCAACTCTGCAATGGTCATTCTTGGATCACAATCAATCAGTTGTCACACTTTTCCAATCATTTTTTTGGTTCCTTGTGTCAAAGGTCTCCTGCTGCGCTGGTCATCCTCTAACGTCTCCTGCCCATTCTTAAACTGGGAAAACCAGTCGTAAACTGCGGATTTCTTTAGTACAGTATCACCGTAAACTTGCTGCAGGGCCGATTGCGTCTATGAAGCAGATTTTCCCAATTTTCACAGGAACTAGATGTTTACACGCTGTTCGAACTGTGACATTGCACCGAATGACCAACACTCATGTCTAATTCAAATGGAACAGTAATGACACTGCACACTGAAACCTGTCCAGACCCGTTGCGCCTGCGAGCAGAAATGCTGAGCTCCCCACCACAAGAGTGTGCGCTATCTTATCGCTCGTTCTCCGTCTGCAGGGGAATTCTGGGAACTTTTTGATTGCCTTACGTATCACGAAATAAGGCCTTGGGAATTAAATTGAAAGTTATACAACTAAAACCTGAAATATTAAAGTTATTAGAGCAATTGCTAAAATTATTGGATATGATGTTAAAATTTCTTCATATACAGTCAACTCTCGATTATCCGGGGGTGGATTAACCGGTTTGCAGCTTAACCGGGACTACTGAGGCTTTTTTGAGGCTTATATGTTGTTTAATATTCATTCACTTTTGTTTCACATGGTGAGTTGTAACACTATTTTCGCACTAGTGTGAACCAAACTCTGCATTCTTTGGTCCCGTTATGCTAACACAATGTTCTACGGTAGGGGTGAAAGAATGCAAGGATTTGTGGAAAGTTTCAAGGCCAGATACATCGCCGCAGTTAGTTTCTTTCTATCGATCTTCAAGTGTGTTAGCAAAATGTCACGGTGTAAAAGGAAGCGTGTTGTGTTAAGTATTCAACAGAAAAAGGAAAATGCCGCAAAAAAGTAAATGACAATATTACATTTTTTTAAGTGTTAAGTGTGAATATTCATAAAATGTGTTGGATGTTGTTGAAGACTGTGATTGAAATAACTAATTCATACTTCAGTGTAATGTAAAAAAAGTATTAAATAGGCCATGAGATGACATAAAAATGAGGTTGAATAAATTTAAATACAGGTAGGCCTATAATATTATGAAGGTACAGTATTACAGTACTACTTTTAATAAAATTTGTCTTAACCGGGTTTTCGATTAATCGTGATTTCCATCCCCACCATTATCCCGGATAATCGAGAGTTGACTGTACCTTGTTTGTGGACTGAAACCACAGTTTTTTTTTTCAGTAGTTTTTGTGTTGTGTCAGTAATTGTGGAAAGCCACGTTGTTGTTCTCAGGGTGGAAGTTGTTGCACCCAGCATTATGCTGTAGTAAATGTATTACAGATATTATTACATGGGCTGTTACGGTGTGTTGATATGTGTGTGCGTCCTACCTGTATAGGCGTTGTATGTAGTAGCTTGGTTCCTTGTGGACTACTTGGAATAGGTATTGAGTTAATATATTTTTAATTCAATTGTAATACAATTCTTTGTACATATATAATGTTAATATTAAGAAGGTTAATATTGTAATTTCCTATTTTCTAATCTAGACTTAATTTTGTAATATGAACATGTTGCACTAAATATGAATCCATGTTTGGGAGTTCAAACAACTTTTGTCATTCAGTTATAATTACTGCCTGTTAATGGTTCTGTGAGGACCAAAACGTGGCGGTAGGAAAATAAAAATTCAATCTGAGTATTGATTGATTGTATAGCCACATTTGTTGTGTTGACAGAAACCTTACTTTGCCATTTACTCTCATTGCACACAATGTTGCAGTGCTTTAAAATTAGAGTTGCACTTTGGGAAACATAAGAAAGGCAAGTTACTTAAATTAATTACTCATACTTACCCATACTCAATTTCATCATCCTATATAGAATCTCAGTGTTTTTGTGTGTTGTGGAATGGTATTGATATGAATGAGTTTTATGGTATTTCATTAAGAGATCCACCTTCACACCCAAATCTGTACATTAGTGTAATGTCATCCTCACACTCAATTTCTTCAAGATCCATTTGCTAAAGGTGAAGTTCATATTTGTAAGAATTCTTGCCTGAAAAGATATAAATCTAAGACATTTCATACTAAAGTGTGAAACTGGCAGTGAATTAGTTTTATGAAGATATGTTTCTTTTTTTTTTTTATTGCTAGTGGGGTGGGACTAAGTCCCTTGTACTGTGGCCACTTCTGGCCTATTGTTCCAGCCCCAGATGATAGGTGAGGGTGATTGTGGAGCAATTGGTGGAATGAAGATTGACAGGGAAACCGAAGTACTTGGAGAAAACCTGCCCCAGCACCACTTTGTCCACCACAAATCCCACTTGACCAGACCCGGGATCGAACCCGGGCTGCTGCCGTGAGAAGCCAGCAACTAACTGCTTGAGCTATGGTGCAGCCTTATGTTTGTCTTGATTAGATATCAGTGTACTGAAGCTACCACAGTTTTCTTACCACAGCTTTTCTGGGACTAAAGGCTGTCTGGGTAGACAACAGCTCTGAAACAGACAGCAATAACTGTGTTTCATATTTTTAACCTCCCTGTGAACCCTGTTGACTGGTTACTCCTTGCTGCCTTATCTACCAGAATGACCTCATTTACCTTTCTCTTTTATGTTTGCAACTTAAAACCAACATTTATGGTGACAAACAGCTCTAGAACTGAAGCTTTTGCAACAGATAGATATATTTGAATTTCTTTGGCAGTAATCCATGTTGATACTGGATGAATCTGCAGTAGGGACTGATGTGATAAGTACCACAAATTGGCATGCATACAGACATCCACAGGTGTAGCATAGTTTATGGTTATATCACTATAATTGTAATGGGGAAGGGGAGTTTGGCTATTTAGTTGGTCATAGAACTTGTATACTGTAATGCTTCAACATTTCATACACTTAGTTTCTATCCACACCACTACTGAAGCAGTATGGAGTTCAGGCAACTGAAAACTGGGGACATTCACACATTGATCTTTCAGTTGTGGGATAGCTGGCCACTTCCATTTGACTAGTGTAACCCGTGAGGACTAAGTGTTCAGATGCATATATTGGAAAATTTCTTGTTCATCACATCAATCTCTGCTCTAATGGAGACCGAGAACCTCTCTTTGTGTTTTATTTTGACATCTCATAACCTATGTGCCTCCATGGCCTGTTACAGGGGTAGCTTTACCTTTATGTCATTGTTAATATAAAGCTCTCTGAATATGTACTTAGGTTTTTGTAATTGTCTGTCTTGTCCAATTTAAACTAGAATTTAAATCATCATTAAATTAAAATTAATCTATAACCATCCAGAGCTGTAACTGCAGTGGCTGTTATTTGCTGATGGATGGACATAGTGAAGGTAGTCAGTGGTTACTCATTTCTGTGAATCACACCTAGAAGTTAGTTATATTCTATACTACCTATATTGTCAGTTCATCTCATACTAAGAGAGTTTGCTTCCTCAGTCTTTCAAGGTAAATGCAAGTGATTGTACCTTGAAATAGAGCACAGATGTCTTACAAACTGTTATCTACTAACCATTCATGGCCACCTTCGCTTATCATGTGAAACAGTGATTTATGCAACTGAAACAGGAATATACCTAAGAATCAGTCAGTTATAAGTGTGCTTGTGTCCGTGTTCTACAAGGATCCCTTAGTATCATACTGGTCACAGAATTTGTGTGTCATTTTTTTAAATTGCTTTGTGACAGATTGGCACCAAAGACTGGAGAAGCTCTTGGGCATGCAGAGACACCCCCAGTAGCAGTGACCCGGTCACAAGGCCGCCCCCAAGCCGTAGTCAACCGACGCTGTGCAGGAGTATCCTTGGCATCAAATCTGCTGGGCTTGAGCAGTGATGGCAAGGCACAATTGCAGATCTTGTGCCAGCCAGAGCAGCAGCATCGAGCCCGGTATCAGACAGAAGGAAGCCGAGGTGCAGTCAAGGACCGCAGTGGGAATGGTTTCCCAGTAGTGAAGGTAGTCATTGATTGTAGTGATCAGCAGACTTTTCCAGGGAGATACAGAAATTATGTTAGGTGGGGAGTTCACCTAATGTTGTTGGGATGTTTAAATCAAGAAAGATACGATAAATGGAAGGGTGAGAAGAAAGTAGGAATGTTCATTTTTGGTTCAAGAAGCTCATGGTAGAGGCTGTGGTGTGGGAGGGCAATAATTAAAATTGGTTAGCAGGAAAATGGACCACACTATAAAATGTGTAATATGTTCTTACGATTCTGAAGTATGTGTGTTTTTTCCTTTCCCCCCAGTTAGTGGGCTACAATAAGCCAGCCACATTGCAGGTTTTCATTGGAACAGATGTGGGACGTGTTGCTCCACACATGTTTTACCAAGCATGCCGTGTCAGTGGCAAGAACTCGACGCCATGCACGGAGAGAAAGATCGATGGCACCATTGTCATTGAAGTGGACTTCGACCCAGCAAAGGACATGATCGTAACGTAAGTGTAGCAGTGCTTTTAATAATGATGTGGAATTTGGGGGAATAATGAGAATTTGACAACAGGTTCTATTTACAGCAAAAGAAATTGAGCTATTGTTCCTTAACCGTTCAGCGTGGTTTGATGTGTATGTTTCGTCAGGTATTTAAATCGTCTGCGGGGGTTCGATGTCTATGTTTCGTCGAGCTGCACACCTATGTTATAACGCCCATAATAATTGATGGTTTTGCTGTAGATTGTTAGATTTTTCGCTGGCCTGTTGTCACAAGAACTATATATAATGAGACACGAGTTTAGCTGCGCTAAGTCATCGTTACATATGCCTGTCTTGCAGCAAAATTCCTGTTGCTCTTGGGAGAGGTTTCCTCATTCAAACTGTTATGAATGGCGTATTTTACTTTCCTATGAAGTTATAAACAGCAGAGACGTGATATGTGCTGTGTTTATAATATCATATTGCCCTGAGCTGGCCACACTAACACACTCAATTGGAATTCTTAGAAGAGGGATGTCCAAAAATTTATTCTTGCAAGATCGATTGATTTCGCACAGTACATAGCAGCCAGTTCTTAGAAAAACNAATGAATGGAATATCAAAGGCATACCAACAACCCCGTGTTATGATAACTCGTAACATTGAATTTACTGCAGCTGACCTGGCAAGCTAAACGGCTCACGGAAAGACATTTCCTTGAACGTATACCCCTCACGGGGAAGAAGGCAAGGCCGCACAGAAGATGTGTGGTTAAAAAAAAGAGCCAGAGAAAAGATACACAATATTTATGTGGTGAATGTGGGGCAGCGTTGTGTTAGAAGAATGCTTCAAGGCCTACCTTACACTGCTCAAATTCTAAACACCTGCTTCCATTGCCGAGATACCGGGCGCTCATATTATAAGGTAAGGTTATAAAAACCATCTTTTAAGATCATTTTAGTGAAAGTTTCATGCTTCAAGGCATACCATTCACTGCTCAAATTCTAAACAACCTGCTTCCATTGCCGAGATACCGGGGGCTCATATTATAAGGTAAGGTTATAAAACCACCTTTTAAGATCATTTTAGTGAAAGTTTCATATTCCTGTCTCATATAATTTAAGAACAATGATGAATAAATCATTTTCGAGCAAAATTTAAATGGCCGGCTGAATATATTACCGCCGGAAAGATGGCAGCGGAATTTAAATGACCGCGCGAAAGGGTTAAAGTTTGGAGTGTATGGAAAAGTGACAGGAATTTGAATTATGAATGATCACATCATGTTTGACAGACAGTTGCAAATGGCTGATGTGGTAATTATGTAACTTTCGTCTTTTATGGAGACCTTAAACTGGGGATGGTGATCAAGAGTATAATTTGGTGTAGGAGATGTAAGGTGTGAAAATATAGAGAAAATGTGCTATGAGGAGCGTCATTTGTTACTATTCTTGGCCTAATATTAATGTAGATGGGAAGTAATACATTCAGAATTTTTAACTGAAAACTGCAAAGAAGTTATAAGGCATGTACAGAAGGATAATATTAAAATGATTCTTTCAGAAAATGGTCATGAACATATGAACTGTAACCACCTGAATGAGACAGAGTCATTGAAGTTTCATGATTGATCCTTTGGGTTCCATAAAAGTAAGAAATCTGTATTGCTATCAGCTGCTCAAAAAGGCCTTGTACGAGTAATATGAAGTTTGAATGTGTCCAGTATGTATGTTTGAGGTCAGAGATTAGTGAATTTGGTGCCATAGTGTGAATGCTGACAGGTGTAGTTGCTCTGTATGGGCATACATCTGATGTCCCTGACTTGCAGGATGCCTATGCCATCCCACTTGTGCTCTGTGCCTACAGGTGTGATTGTGTTGGTATCTTGAAGGAGCGTAATGTGGATGTAGAGCACAGGTTCCCAGATCAGTCAGGATCACGTAACAAGAAGAAGTCGACACGGTGCCGCATGGTCTTCCGTACCACAATAACCCACCCAGATGGCACCACAGAGGTCTTGCAGACAACCTCGCAGCCTATTGTTTGCAGTAAGATAGACATATTTCCAGCATTTTAATAATATTTGAACAGATCCCATATGGTAAAACTTTACCAAATTTGTCCTTGCAGCTTTAATCTCATTCATAATTGTTTCCCTGTACCAAAAAATTGACATTTGATTGTGTGAAAGTATCCCATATAACTATAAAATGGGTAAGAAATACAGTTCATTTTTGGAAGGCCTTTCAGAATCTCAAAAATTAGGGCCTGCCACTGTTATATGAGTATAAGGGATTGAGTGTCATACATACATTAAAGGCTGGAAGCTCAGTATGTACAAAGGCACATGGGCAGACCTGTACTTTTGTTATAACATTTGAACAAGTGGCTTATTCTCATGAACTTTAGTATAATAATTATAACATAGGACACATCCCATTATTACTTCTGGTGCATGTAAATACAAACATTATTCAGTGAAGGTCCCGAAACTTTATGCATGTCTTTGAAGAGTGTGCAGAAAACATCAATGTGCCACTTACAAGAAATATGCATCATATATACCTTTGCCCAACATATTTGCCTAGGAAATTAGGCTTTGTTGTAGCCAAGAATTATGTTTCTGGTACCTTCAGTCATCATCAAAATGGATGTATTATCTGATAATTTTACATGATTTATTATAAAGCACAAAAAACAAGGGATAGTTATGAATACAATATTGTGACGCGTTATCTTATGTCCATCACCGTGACAACCGCTACAATCAGAATGGACACTTTTTCGACAATGAATACATGGAAATTGGGGAGTTGCTGTGGCAACAAATCATAGCAATGAATTGTCATTGAGTAACAACGGATGAGATGAAACACGTTACCGATGTATTCTATAAGGAGTGTTCCCGAAGCAACATGTTGCTGAACACGTGAGATTGAACCTTGGCGAGGGGTGTCCTCTATTGAGTCTGCATGCGGCTTATATAAAGGACCCAGCCTTGAACAGAAGTATTGTATATTGATACTGCAAATGGTAATAATTGTAAGGTGTGTAAGAGTGAGTGTCCAATAAAGATTTGCTAAATCCGAGACTCATGTGAAGTTATTTGTCACATGACATACCCAACACATAACAACTGGTGACAGAAGTGGGATGAATTTGGATTCTGAGACGAATTTGGAAGAGTTATTAGACTAATGCCACACGAGCTAGAATGGACATACAACAGATGATGGAACATCTGGTAGTTGGCCAAGAACAGATGATGGCAAAGGCGGATGCCAGACATGAGGAAATGTTGGGCATGTGAGAAGAGATTAAAACCTAACTCAAACCCAAAGTGGACAGAAAAGCCTGGGAAGAAAGAGTTGCTGCTGTACGAAACGAAAGGATAACCGTCAGGCAAGAAGAGATGGGTGTCAATACAAAAGCCTGGCTAGGAGAGATTGCCGCCACACGAGACAAAATAATGGCCGCCAGATGAGAAATGATGGACGCCAGCCACAAGGAGATAGTGGCCGAAAGCAAACCCAAATGGACATAGAGACGACAGCCTGCCAAGAGATGGACGCGCGTCAAGAAGAAAAAGAGCCGACCTCACTGGACTTGAATCCTGAGGCAGCAGAGCAACGAGAGGTCCCTGCAAAAGACGCTGAAGTAATGCCGGTTGGAGAACCAAAGAAAAAGAGGCATAAGGACCAAAAACTGACTGTGGAGCGCTGCCACAAGATGAATGAACGGACCCACAGTCAGGATGGGTGCCGAAAAAGACTGGCTGTCACCTGCAGAGGGGCGAGTCGCTGTGTGGAAGTGGCACGGGAAACACAAACCGACCGGAAGGTGTCCCGCCATGCAGCAGTGGCACGACACAGGAGAGGTGCCTTCAAAAAGAAAACTACTCAGGGAACTTTTGGATCCCGGCGAAAGGAATTGACCATCGACAGTTGTCTACATCATCTCTGCAAGCAGCCTTATGATGAGTCTCAACCATTGCGGGTTGACCGTAGCAGCAAAGAGAAACCAGCAGTGGGCTCTCTTGCTCCACGGTCTTGTACCAGCAAGTGGTGGGAAGACCAAGAGGAACGACAATGTCAGTAAGTGCAGACCACACCCCAAATGCCTTTACATCAACAGAGGGAACTTCTCAAGGAAGACATGATCAAGGATTGGACACTGGAGGGGTTGACCCCCTCCAAAACAAAAAAAAGGACTTAAAGCAAATACAAGCTATTGCAACCCTACCTACCTCCAGCTGGGACCCAGTTGCCCTAAGAGGAAGAGTTAAATGACCCAGACACGGCCTATTCTACAGGAAGTAGAAACTGGACAACGACCTGAGTGGAAAGAAGGTTCGACAGCAGTACTACTGGCTCCCAGCAAGGAGAGACATCGAAAAATGGTGCCGACAGTGGCGACACCTCTGCAGCCAGTTGTGGCCCACGGACTAAGAATAGGTGTCAAATGCAACAGTATAATGTCGGGGCCCCATTCGAAAGGATAGCAATTGATGCAGCTGGACCATTCCTGTTGAGCGAACAAAGGAACTGATATCTCCTGATCGCAATGGACTATTTAACAAAATGGCCGGAAGCCTACACCATCCCAAACCAGGAGGCATTGACAGTTCATTCATTCATTATTGGAGGGGGTGGGTTTCCCCATGCACCGCGACCAGTTGTTGATCTATTGTACATCCCCCTTTGATATTCTACCAGTTGGCATACCCTTCCGGTACTGGTGCTCGCTATCAGCCCCATTGAGCCAGTGAGTTTGGCCTCTCTACTGGCAGTGGTACCCGATACTTCCCCATCTACCGGAGGCATTGGAAACTACTTGGGTGGGAAACTTTTTCCCTAATTTTGCTCAGAGGTCTCCTAGAGACATGAGGATCTTTTACGTGCCGTAAATCTACGACACGGGACCCACGGCTTAAAGTCCCTGCCAGAGGACTTGTTCCCTGAATTTTTCCGCCCTTAAAAATCCCACGACCTCCGCCGGGTTTGAACCCGCATACCTTGAGTCATGAGGTGGGAACGTTACCCCCAGACTACGGAGGCCGCTAGTCGTTGACAATAACGGAAGTTCTGGTCACCAACTTCTTCTGCCACTTCGGCATACCTCAAGAGTTGCATAGTGACCATGGCCGTAACTTCGAGTCTTGTCTGCTACAAGAAGTTTTGCAGTGCCTGGGAGTGAGCAAGGTGCGCACCACGTCCGTGCACCCACAGTCGGACGGCATGGTGGAACGCTGCATTCAAACCATCAAGGAGCATTTACAGAAGGTCATCACATCCCACCAGAGGGACTGGGATGAGAGGTTACCCCTCTTTCTCCTAGCTTACAGGGCATCCACTCACGACACTATGGGCTTGACCCCAGCTAACCTAGTTTTCGGACGAGAACTCTGACTGACCTGCGATCTGCTGTTTGGAGTACCCCAGACAAGGAACTACCCACAACCGACTATGCGGCAGACTTAGTGGATCACCTACATGACATCCACAATTATGCCCAGCAACACCTGAAGCTTGCCATTGACCGAATGAAAACTCGGTACAATAAATTAGCCAACTCCTCAGGGTTCCACAAGGACGACAGAGTGTGGCTGTGCCGCCTGGCCTGCAAAAAGGGAAATCACCGAAACTTCAATCCTTGTGGGAAGGCCCTTACAAGGTAGTCAACCGAATAAATGACATAGTATAGAGAATCCAGAAGAACCCTAGGTCGAAAATGTTGGTAGTACACCTGGACTGGCTCGCGCCCTACTATGGAGCTGCTTGGGATGAGCACGAATGAAGAAGAGGGGTGGAGGTAACACTCGGAAGATGAACACCTTAGGAAAGGAAACCTAGGAAGCACCATTAGGCTGTTTGGGGACAAACAACCTTTAGAATGGAGCAATGTGATGTCTTACCTTATGCCATTGTGACAACCGCTACAATCAGAACAAACACTTCCACAACAACGAACACATGGAAAATGGGGAGTTCCTGCAGTGACAATTCGTAGCAATGAATTGTCGTTGAGTAACAACGGATGAGACAAAGTATGTTACTGGTGTCTTCTATAAGGAGCGTTCCCAGATTGCTGAACACGTGAGATCGAACCTTGGTGAGGGGTGTCCTCTATTGAGTCCGTGTGCGGCTTATATAAAGGACCCAGCCTAAAACGGAAGTATTGTATTGGGCCAGAAGTCAGGTGATACTGCAACTGGTAATAATTGTAAGGTGTGTAAATGTGAGTGTCCAATAAAGATTCGCTAAATCTGAGACCCACGTGAAGTTATTTGTCATGTGACATACCCAACACATGACAGTATGGTATGTTTAAAATTTACAGTTTTGTGGTAAACAAGTTACCGTCAACCAGAAATTTCATGAAAGCTTGTGGTTTAGGAAATGAAAGAATCTGAAAAATGGGTTGAACCAAAGCCAGACAGAATGTTTGTAGTTTATTCTGTAAAGTTGCAGCATGTAATATAAAACTAGTGTTGTTGTACGCAATTGTAATGTGGTAATATGTACATCAGTAATGTCATGAAAGGTCACAAAATAGTGATCATCTCATTAGAAGACATAGATTTTGTTATATGCATATAATCACACATGCAGGCATAAGTCAGCGGCAGTTCATTGCAACATTGGAGTCACGTATGAGTTTTCAGAGGAACATATTGCTTTCTTCTTCATGATAGAAGACATGACTTCAGTCCTGAAGATGGAGCAGTGTGTGTTCTATGAAATGTTGCTAACCACCTCCAAAACTATATGGTGTCATTATCTGGAAGACCACCATATGAATCTTCGCTCCCATGAAAACCTCAGATATTATACACAATTTCACTTCTACCAAATGAATAAAAAAACAATACTACATTAGCAAAAGTTGTATATGTTGCAAACATCATCATTCATACTAATTTACAGGATCCTGCATTAAGTTGTTCTGATGTTTCTGTCACCTTGGAAGTTCTACACAGTTTTCATATACAGTCAACTCTCGATTATCCGGGGGCGGATTAACCGGTTTGCGGCTTAACCGGGGCTTTTTTTTTAAGTTTATATGTTGTTTAATATTCATTCACTTTTGTTTCACATGGTGAGTTTAACACTATTTTCGCACTAGTGTGAACCGAGCTCTGCATTATTTCGTCCCGTTATGCGAACACAATGTTCTAGGGTGGGGGTGAAAGAATGCAAGAATTTTTGGAAAGTTTCAAGGACAAATACACCGCCCCAGGTTATTTAACGGTACCATCTCAGTGTGAGAGTGCATTGTGAAAGTAAGTANCATGCATTTGTACAGGAGGCATGGAGCTGTTTATTCTGGGCAAGAACTTCCTGAAGGATACAAGAGTGGTATTTCAGCATGGTGATGCATTATCGGAGACACCTTGGGAGGAGTCTGTCCAGCCAGACAAAGAATTCCTCCAGCAGGCATGTGGAATGTCATGTTAACTGGGCATGCATGCAAAAGGGGCAGTAATCATTTTTTCATTTTTCTGGATTGGGGTGCAATGAAAATGCAGCCACACACTAGAAAGGTATTCAAGTAGGCCTTGTAACCTGTGTGTAAATTATCTTTATAATGCAGCAAACCACCTTTTAAGACTTCTTTGGGTAGCAGTGATTTCCTACACTAAGATGAGGAAAATGTTTAAATGGAGGTTATTTAGCACAGAGACACCCACCATATAATTACTGAAATTCATTACTAAATTAGGGAGGCCCTGCTGGATAGCTCTGTGAATTGTACACTCAAATCTGCAGTGAATTAATGTGGAGACCAATGAAGTATACAAAATAGTGAAGAACTTACTTGGAAAATATGTGTAGTTCAAATTAGAGTAAAAGTTTCCAGATTTTTTTCTATATTATTGTATATTATTGCAGACTCATCTGGTGTGCGTGGTTCCTGCATACCAGCAGGTGGACTTAACAGAGCCAGTCACAGTAAGGCTTTTGGTGGTGTCAGGTGGCAAGACCAGTGAACCCCACACATTCACCTATACCCCCACATTGCTGCCACCAGGTAGGCCTTAGGAGGACAGGTCACATGGCCGCTCGTTCGGCTGTTTTGTGGGCGGACAGCCTTACACGCAGCAGCTGACCAGGCAAGGTGACCAACCTTGAAGGTTTCTTCACATGAATGACTTGAGACTTCACCTGTTGAAATGTACAGCTTGGTATGGATTCCAGTAAATCTACAGTTCAGCGTTTACAAGACAGTTCACTAGTTGTGGCTGCCTACATAACCTTATCTCACCCTGCCTGGTCTGTACTCTGCATTTCTGATTAATCATGGCAAGAGTATATTAGCAGTCATCTGTGATGGCAGTAGTTCTGTTTACATTTTATTTTCAAAAGCCTATTCTTACTTGTTAACTTTTGAGTATCAGGAACTCAATATCATGACCACGGTATTTTCTTTGTGCAGAATTTATAGCGAATCTTGAGGTTATGGTTTATTCATCTTTTGAAGTAATGACTGTGTTGATGCAACAGTTCATTATTTGGGTCATCATAATATGATGAAAAAGCCATGAATAATCACTTGGACTGTCCGTTCGATATTGAAATGTGTGAATGTGGAATGGTCTGTGCGCAGTGGTTGGGTTGGTGAAACCAGTATTGCCAGCATCAGAAGAGTGTCTGTCTTCATTTTTTGTGCTCATACAGTTAATTTGGTGTCTGTCACACTGGAAAATTGTCAACAGCACGATTGACAGCTTCTGTTAGTAATTCAACTTATTTACATTGTTTTAGCGCTTAATTTAAAGTAACTTATATAAGTACATAATGTGTTCTGCAGTTGATATCTTTTTATATAACAGACATTTTCTTCATTAGTAGGCAAAGTGTGTAGTACAAACTGGCAATGTTGATGACCATACCCAGTGAATCCTGTAAACCACTTATGACAGTGTTTTAATATGAGAGTTATTGTGAGTAGCTGTCATGAGTGGTACTGTCCATACCGGGGGGCAAGCGAGCATTTTTACATGTGGAGGGTAGTGTCTGACTGCAGAGTGTACATGCGGGACCATTGTGTACATGTGTGTGTGCATGATAATTATATGCTCTGCTTGTCTCAACATTTGTAAAAGGGCACAGATCAAGGTTCCTGTCAGAAACATAGTAACTCATATTAGAAAATATATTGAAATATTGAGAAAATATTGCTGCACAAACATGTGTGGTACTGTCTTTGGATTGTTAATTTAAAGCAGTTCATACTTTTCCAAAACTATGGTAACTTTGATCAAAAATGTTGTCAGATTGGCGTAAGATTTCATATATTAAGAAATAAATGAAAGAACGAGAAAATGTCAGCACCAGTGCACTCATCACATAACTCTTAAAGAGATGTATACATGCCACAACTATTGTAACAAGACTTTGTTAGTTTATGCTTTTTATTTAAAGATTGTTTTTAACAAGGAGAGATAGTGTAGTGTCTTAACTATATATTTCATAGTTGCAAATGACAGATTTGAAGTAAATGCATTTGATGTGGCTTTCTTTTTTACGCCAGTTGCTGACAAGTATTTTTAACCTGTGTTTTTTTTTGTGTAACTTTTCTATGCGTCTGCTTGTTCCCCTCGCAGCAGAATTACAGGAAGTAATTGCTGATTGGAGTTGGCGCCACTTGTCAGGCGAGCGCCAGGGGGTGCGCCTGGGCATCACCCGCTAATAATTCAGGTTCTGTCATCATGGTGACTACTACTACTACTACTACTAATATACTACTATACTACTACCCACAATACACTTATTCACAGTTAAGCCACAACTTTGACACATCATAAATCATTGTCTTGGATAATGCCCAGATAGCATTGGGTTATGTGACTATCAATGCAATGGAAGTAAAGAGCAAAGTGACAAAGTGTACAGTGATCAGCTTCACATTTCAACTGCTTGAACCTTGCCAGGGGCTCAGCAGACCCAGTATCCTTTATAAGCATTAAGGAACAGAATATTCCTAACTTTTGTACCAGAAATGTGACCCCAGTCATCCACTGTATAGCCCAGAGGTTGCAGGCACATTTTTTATTATATCTTAAAACCATGCAGGAACAGTTTGTATCACAAGCAGCTGCTTAAAGTTACTGTAACATGCAAGAGTATCTGTATAGAAGGGTAACGTTGTTTGCTTTTAACAAATTTAATTCTGCCTTTAGCAAATAAGATTTTGATTTAATGTGCTATGTATGAGATATAATCGTGAAAGAAATTTAAAAAGATTATGCCATGATATCCCACCAAAACTGGTTGTTTTTCAAGTTGAACAGCAAAGTCAGAAGATGATGTAAGGTGGTAGCATTACAAAAACAGGTATCACTGTCATATATCCCTATTGACAGAACTGAAAAGAAACATGTGCATTGTTGCGAGTAACTTGACATCCATGGTATTTGTTAGGGTATATCCAAGACTGTGATGATTATCTGAGTTTTTCATATCGGCTTTGTAAATTTGCAAGTTACACCAGACCACTGGAAGGCCCAAGATAATGTGTTCCCCATACACCATTACAATGCCTGATCTTGTGACTGTATCACAAAAATGTTTGACACTGTTTAGTTATATGCAGTCTTCTGCAAGCTGAATAGGCATATGGTGGAGAAGCATTGTCATGTTCCATACAGTGAGTATGCACCAGAAAGCAAAAGCAGAATCAAGATGTGCAGTGTCAGAAGAAAACCCAAGACATCTTTATAGTATTTCCAGACCAAAGTTTTAACACAGTTGATATTATTTTAAGCATTTCAGTTACTATGTATGAAGTCTTGTGTAGATTGAGGATGAAATGGAAAAATTAATGGGAAAGGGAGTTCAAAATTGAGCCTTATTTTAAGAACATTTTGAAGGAAATTTAAGGAAGAAGTTTTATGAGAAAGTAGAAAAATTTACAAAATTAGTATTTCATGTTAATACCGTTGAACATTATAAAGTTTAAAACAGATATTTGTAGAGAAAGTTGGAGAATTGAGGTTAATTTAAAAAAAAAAAAAAGGTTATTTTTGTTTTATTATTGACTGTATATTTGTCTCTTGTTTTGTCATAATCATTTCTTAATCACTGTTTTCTTCTGTCTGCAGTTCCGTGAGATTCGGGTGGACTGTGCCAGGCGTGCATCATCTTGCGCAGTATATTGCGACTTTTCAGGCTTGAAGCTGGCATGCAGAGCAGAAGTGATAATGTTCCCTCAGTGCTAGACTGACAGTGCTCTGTGTGCAGTATGTGTGACTGTGTGGATGTGTGTGCCTGAATTGTGCTTGTCCTGCAACAGCCTGGGGAGGGGGGATTTGGATCAATTCAGGTTGTGTGGCATGTCCAACAGCCTGTGGGTGGGCAGGGTATTTAAATGGATGCAGTGGCCAGCAGCCTTCCTGTTTCCAATGTTCCTATAAAGGCAGGAGTCCCCCACTTTTAAATTTTATGAGGATCCCATGGATTTGTAGTTTTCCCATCTCATTATTCCCAAAGTAAATAACCCCCAATCCATATTTACCATCAGCATACTGGTTACTATGCCATATTATCATTCCCCATTAATCATACAAGAAGTGTAAAACTTTTGTTTGTGCTGTTTCACTTCAAATCTATGCTTGAGTCTTTTGGACTACCTGTTTCCATAAACTAAAATTGGTAGGTGGCAGGTTGCCTGATGCTTCATACATGCACACATGCATGCGTGCACCCACCCACACACTTGCGGACTTATACATCAATGCATCATAGTGACAAACAATTCTGGGACAGTAGCGAATAAAAGACATGACAGGTTGGCTACCCGACATGCAGACCATTACACAGAGTTTGTGGAATTGTACTACTGTAATTATGTATGTGGATCTCATATATTCCAAGAGAAAAGTGCAGTGCTTTGAAAGTTCTTGGGGGGAGATGAGCCACGTGTAACAGGCAAACATAACTTGTCAACAATTGGGGAAATCAGCAGTAAAAATTCTATTGGTTCTTCTGAAGTCTTGTTTCAAAGTTAGTTGCACTGTACATAGTACACTTACAGAATGTAGGCTTATGAATTTAATACATAATGTACCTAAAAAGTCGGTCAGGACTTAAAGCAAGACAGCTTTTACCATCTCAAATATACGTTCATACCACTAGCAGGTTAGAAGTGCCATATTTGAAATGCTCTAAGTGTGTAGTATGAAATACAAGAAGTTCTGGGAAGAACTGATCACGTGCTTTCATTTTATATGACACAGACTGCATAGAAAATTACGCCTCCAAAAATTCTTCTTTGCCACAGGAATGTCTTTACGTAGTTTTTACTTACCAATGATAAGGGGATACACAGACCGACAGGCCCACAGACATGTGCATCCAGCAATTTTGTTGTTTTCGATTATATTTCATTGCTGCAGGAACTTGTTTACCGAGCTGTGCCTAGCAGTGAAAGGAGGGATACATTTTACCTAGCCTTTGCCTATCAGTGATATGAGGGTTGCACATACAGACACGTTGACTGATGGGAGGGATTCGTGAAGTATGCCATTGAGATGGACTCAGGTTCCATGGTATACATACCAACTTTCATGACATTGGTTCAGACATTCAGAAGTTATTAGGGGGGGACACGCACAGACAACATGGTGATATCATAAGCCTGTTATTATTTTACCAAACAAGGAAAGTGGGCTAAAAATAGAAGGGGTTAAAACTGAATGTTAATGCATGGTATTAAATTTTTAGGTCTGTTGCTAGTAACTGCAATCAGCCTTTCTGGATAAGACAAATTTTCTACATGTGTTGAAGTTACATATTGCATATGTTCATCATTTTCAGAATAGCAGCTAGACACACTGTGAGTATATTCAAACCAAATATCTGCAAAATCTGTAAATAAAAATGCTGATTAATGAAGTTTGTATGGAAAGAGACATATATCTTGTTTTTCGAAAAGAGGATTGGTAATGTTGAATTGGGAATTCCGACATGAGAAGCCAATCCTTGTTCCAGTGATTAAGAATCATTGCAAACACTTCCTGTATTATGGTT